TGTCTTCTTATCGATCCACCAGTTCACATTTAAAGCTCTGCGTGTTTGCAGGGTAACAACATGGGTGGATTTTCGCATTGGTCTGAACTCTGAACAAAACAAGTTTTATTGAAAATGCTCATTCATTCTCTGCCAGCAGTTGGAGCGTTTGGTAGAAATATAACTGTTTCCCCGGTAACAGCAGAACACAGAGCAGCGCAGCACCGGACTTTGAACGTTCAGCGCTTGTGTTTATTTAATGAAATCATAGCCTTTTGAAGTTTAATCGTCACATTCAGCCATATTGCAATTCTGGTCTTTCCGTCCCCAAATTTAAGACCTCTTGAAATCATAATTAAGACTTTCTTGTACAATTTAAGACTTTTTAAGGCCTTAAATTTGATACAACTAAATTTAAGACTTTTTAAGACCCCGCGGAAACCCTGGCTAGGGTACTTGTACTTTGTAGTACAGTTTGAAGTTGTACTGTTTTATTTTTACTCAAGTATGTTTTTGGCCAGATAATTTCACTGAATAACTGTACTTTCACTTGAGCATAATTTTTGAGTATTTTAACCCTTGTGAATTGTGCACAAGACCAAGCACCTGTATTAGGAAATAAAAGAGGGTCAGTGGTGGTAAATGATGCCTTTGTGAGGCAGTTTTTACTGGAGCTCTTTGATTTGATCAATATTTCTTTACTCACTTCTCTCTCAGCTTCTGCATTTCTCGTTTCATATCAGCGTCCTCAAACTCAGAGTCATTATCACTACTGACGTAAGCGGAGTGGGCGGGGCCGCTAACCGAGGGGGCGTGTCCATTCACCAGAGGACAAGGGGGCGAATCGGAGCTTTGGACACTGCTGCTGTGACCCGAGCGCCGGAGGAACGCCACCGCCCGCTTCATGAAGTCCCCGCCGCCTGACTCTGACGGGGCAGGAGCCAGAGACGAGGGCTTAGCGGACGGAGTCTCGCTCTGATCCTCCTCTCCGGTGTCCGAGGACAAGCACTGCGCCGTCCCGTCCGCTGACAGTGAGCTCTGAGCGCAAGGCATTGTGGGTCTGGCCTCTGGAAAGGAAGTAGTTGTGTCCTGAAAAAAAAAATGGATGTAAATGACAATGTCAGACTCCCGAACAAAAGAACAAAATGTATGCAAATACCTAAAAATAAACCAAAAATAAATGAAATATAGATAAATAAATAAAACATTTTAACTGATGGATTCTATGTTTAGAATGTAATACTGTACAGTATACTGCCTACTACAGCATGTGAAACAGTAACATTTCAAAAAGTATTGCTCTACATTGCTGTCACACGACTTTATCATGTTGCATGTTCAATCCAGTGGCATCCTATTAATTGACTTATTTTGCATTTACTATCCAATTTTGGGTACAAATGTCTAAACTTCTGACAGTCTGATCAAATAATGAGTAAAGAAAAGGAGATGTTGAATCCTGAATGCCATTACTCTCATGTCACACCGAAAGGTCTAGTCTAGACTACACATTTTGACAAAAACATACTGTATGTAGTAGGGATGCACCGAATGTTCGGCAACCAAAATTATTCGTCTGAATAAGCAAAAAGACTGAATAAATTGTACCGAACAATTATATTTTTGGTGATGCGATCAAATAGCACTCAGCGTAGAGTGAGAGGCGCGTACTCTTTATAATGCAAAAAATGTCGGCAGCGTGGAAGCATTTAAAACTGTCCGAGAAAGACGCAAAAATCATTACAAGCACTGACAGCGAGAGACTATTTAGCACTGCATCGCATGTCTCTGTTGAGAAGTGGAAGGGGTGGTTGTTGCTGGTTACTGTAATGAAATGACGAAATGGCCTCAAACGATTAGTAAATAAACTGCAGAGCGCTGCACAAGCTCGTTAGCCAGGGTTCAAAGTCCAAAGGAGGAAAATCTGCGCTAAAACAGTTACCCGTCAGTTGCTCAGTAAAATTTTTATGAATTTTTACAAGGCATGGATGTGACAATGTGATACGTGCGACAAACATCTTCCCAAATTCGCAATGAGAATCATTTATAAATCCATTGTTGTACAAATAGAAGCACTGAGGTCTTCCTGCGGGTTTCCGCCAAAAGCTAGAAAAAAAAGCAAGAACTCCATCACAATTTATAAATGTTAGTATTGTAATTCTACTGTTGTTCTGTAAAGAAAAAGAAAAAAGACAAGAATAATAATAATGATATTAATAATTACAACAACTCTGTTAATACATTTATTATAACATTCACACAATGTTCAAATTGGGATCTGTAATATTTTCTAATGTCTTAAAAAGTCTCTTCTGCTCAGCAAAGCTGTATTTTCAGCATCATCACTCCAGTCTTCAGTGTCACATGATCTTCAGAAATCATTCTAATATGCTGATTTGCTGCTCAATAAACATTTCTGATTACTATCAATGATATGAGAACAGTATGGCTTGTAGATAGGGAGTTATTTAATACAAATATAATTATATTTTCAGAATGACATGATTTTTTTTCTCAAACATAGTCACTGGGGTAAAACACCTCCATGGGGCAATGGGCAATTACTGTAGTTATCTGATCTGAACATCAAATTCTTTGTTTTTCCATCAAATGTATTTTAACTAGTTGGTTGAATAAAAATATTTGGATTTTATATTTAAAAATTACCTCAAGTTAGCATCAGGTTGCTAGTTAGCTAGCCAGTTAGCATCAGCTAACAAAATGTTTCAAATAGGCTATTATAATTTTGTAATTCATAATTATTGATTATATATATTTTTAATTTTAAGCTAAAACTGCCTGTACTCTGATTTTGCTGTAAATGTTTAAAGCAAATTGCTTTGTCAGACTGGGGGGCGTTTTGCTTCATAGGTGGGGTAAAACGCCCCCTTGGTACAAATTAAATTTTTGTTAAAAATCTAATAACATGAAAACTCTGTACATTTTTCATACTTTGTTTATAATTTATGACATTGTCACTAAAACTATGATAACTTTTCTGAACACATTTAACTTTTGTTTCACAGAAAAAAATTACACAGTCCCTAAAGGGGGGTGGGGGGCGTTTCCACCATTCTACCTTAACGTTAAACCAAATAAAAGTTGCACTGTATTGACACTGCACAGTGCACACCACAATATTGCAAAACATTTTATCTCGAGAAGAGTCTTGGGAAGATAAATATAAAAGTGTAGCCGAATTACATTTCAACCTCCAGCAGTGGGCAGAACAGCACCAGGTTAGAATTTCAACGTTAGTATTCAGAGAAATTGGGAAATTATTATGTAAGTGAACATAGAAATTAAAAATTGCTAGAATTAAAATAAAATGCTAGGATTCCTTTTTTTTTTTTTCAAATCAGAAAAATATTTTCAGAATGACATGATTTTTTTTCTCAAACATAGTCACTGGGGTAAAACACCTCCATGGGGCAATGGGCAATTACTGTAGTTATCTGATCTGAACATCAAATTCTTTGTTTTTCCATCAAATGTATTTTAACTAGTTGGTTGAATAAAAATATTTGGATTTTATATTTAAAAATTACCTCAAGTTAGCATCAGGTTGCTAGTTAGCTAGCCAGTTAGCATCAGCTAACAAAATGTTTCAAATAGGCTATTATAATTTTGTAATTCATAATTATTGATTATATATATTTTTAATTTTAAGCTAAAACTGCCTGTACTCTGATTTTGCTGTAAATGTTTAAAGCAAATTGCTTTGTCAGACTGGGGGGCGTTTTGCTTCATAGGTGGGGTAAAACGCCCCCTTGGTACAAATTAAATTTTTGTTAAAAATCTAATAACATGAAAACTCTGTACATTTTTCATACTTTGTTTATAATTTATGACATTGTCACTAAAACTATGATAACTTTTCTGAACACATTTAACTTTTGTTTCACAGAAAAAAATTACACAGTCCTTAAGGGGGGCGTTTTCCCCCACTCTACCTTATAATTGTCACGAATCCGGTCCATGGTCTTCCGTCTGCTCGCCACCAGAGGTCTAGTGGACTAGTTCTAGTCCTGTTTCGTAACATCTAGTTTTGCCTGATTGTCTGTTCCTGATAACTTGCCTGTTTTGGATTTCTCTCTCGTCTTGTTGTTTGGATTCTGTTCGCACCTCACCTGGATTATTATCTGTCTGTGGATTACTCGCTTGCCTCATCCTTTGGATTATGTTCACCACTGATCGACCTACGCCTGTTTATTGGATTACTCTTCTGTCTTGCCCTCTAAATACCTGTTTGCCATTGTCCGACCCTTGCCTGTTTTGAATATGTTTAAGAATAAAGCTTTGCAGATGGATCCGCACGTCTCTCGTCTCAGTCGCCCCGCAACACTTATGCAGTGCTGAGCACACAGAAAATAAGGTAAACAGTGTTTTCAAAGCGGGTAAAGTGTCGGGGTTTGTGAGGCAACGTGCTCTCACACAGGCTTGGCTGTTTGCGGAGGAGCGGAGTGGGGAAAACCACTCTGCCGGTTTCTCTTACAGAGCCCAGCCTGTTGATTTCATGAGGAAAAATGTTATCACAGAGATTTCCAGGACTATGCAAACAAACACTGCTGAGCACACATCCTCACACAGGATACGCTGAAAGCCTGCTTGTGAACATTGACCTTATGGCTTTATCTTTATCAAACTATCCCAATTCACAGGGCCCAGGACAACATTTTTATGGGTGGGCCCCTTCCCCCTCCAGGCCCAATGAGTAGTCTGTATCATAGAGGACCATAGTGGGACAAGTACAATGTCCCCAATTAACCCCTAGCAATGGTCCTCCTTAATAATTATGACTACTTAGGAGAAAACATGCAATGATCAAGAAATGCAAGAAACTGATTCACATCACCGCTATGGCACTTTTACAAAGAATGTTAAAAAATGTTCAGTGTTAAATATTTTTAAATTGTTGTTCTGTCATTGAGTTTTCTTTGAAAAGCAAGAAAAAAACAGTAAAGCACATTTTGGCTATTTAATTTATGTAATGGTGAAAAAAATTGGCAAAATACATAGGGAAAAATACACGAAAAACCATATTCGGTGCATCCCTAATATGCAGGTTATATTGGTGTTACTGTGTACATTATACTGTAGATCTTGTGCAAACAGTATGAGTAGAATGCCAGTATGCCATTTCAGACGTACGCTGCGCTTCAGACAAACCTGATATAAGTCAGGAGGTGCCGAGTAACGGTTTCTTTGTGACTTTGATGTGGATCTGTGTCCGTTCTCAGTTACAGGAACAGCTGCAGATTCAAGATCAATCACATGATCTCTACCATCGTGAGAAGACACATCTGAATCTGTTGGCACAATCTGCAGTGCACAAACACAGAACGCTGTCAAACTGTGACCAGTCATTTCAGAGAAGCATATATATAACTCGTAAACAAACAAACAAACAAACGAAAAAAATCACTGATAACCTGGAAGTGGCTCTTGGATGTGTGTGTAGCAGAAGTGGCCCCGGAGTCTTTTCTGGTCAGAAGTCTTTTGAAGGCTGATCGACATTTGGGAAAAAAAGAAAGAAAAGCACAACAATAGCAGTTGTCAATTGTGACAATTTCTTGTAGTCTGCAGTACGTCTACATATCCAGAGTGTAGAGCTGTTTTTCCACCGTCGAGCCGAACCATTCGCGTTGCCTAACCGTTACATTCCGTGTTGAATTACAGGCCCAGAACGGTTCCTAATCATGGAAACATAACTGGAACCATTCACTACTATTTTTATAACCGTTCGGCCCGACACGGGGAAGAGCAGCTGAGATTAGCACATTCACACACACACACACACTTTCACTTACGGGCGACAGCAGAATCACTCAAGGTTCCGAGACTGTCGGACCTCTCTGGAATCTGCGGCTACAAAAGATAAAAAATAAAAATCCTGAGAAATACGGTATAACAAAATTATTTCCTACAGAATTAACATGGACAAACTCTTTTCAGAAAATAACAGGACTGATGGTAACCAGTTGACAGCTGTACAGTTTACTTAGCCATTTCTACTCTTCTGGTGCTTGTAAACAGGACAATACTTACACAAATATCCGGTTTTCAACAATCAATTGTTTACTGCAGAAAATCATGGGTAACATGGTTCACAATTTGACACAATTTACTTTTATTCATAGAATAATAGGATTGATGTACAAATCTTCTCATATTTCTCCTGTTTTATGCAGACTAAATTGGCTACCTGTTAGTTTCCGTATTCAATACAAAATACTTCTCATTACATTCAAAGCTCTCCATGGTCTCGCCCCTTAATATATCTCAGATCTCATCCACACCTACATCCCTTCCCGTGCACTTGGCCAGTTCCTTCCAAACTAGTGTTTGGGAATGTTGAATGATTGTAAAGCGTCCTTGAGTTTGTAGAAATGCACTATATAAAATAAACATTATTATTATTATTAATATTATTATGTAACCTCAGGTCTGGGGTTGATGGCCAAAACTGGTTATTATTCAGAACTGGTTCCATTAAAAAGACAAAAGATTTCTTCTCAATTTCATATGAAATCTTCCGCTACTGAATCTGCCACACCGTGGCAAGTGTTTTTTCTGAACTGAGAGTTTTCAGTCTAACTTTAATGAGATGATGTGAGAAAAAGAGTAGGCTAAAGACAATAAGAAGATAACACATCTTTTGCTCTTTCCCCGCTAGTTGCACACAGCAATCACACCATACATGTGACTAGTGTGGCCAGATTCATAAACGAATTAATCGTGATCTTTGAATTAACTGCTTTCAGGAGCCTGTTCTTTTGATAGTTTCTGAGACTAAAAATGCATTACCAAGAAAAAAAAAAGATTTAACAAAACAACCTCCCTTACGAAAATGAACCATGGTTTTATTGTAGTAAAAGTGTAGTAACCATGTTTTTTTTTTGGTATATTGATTCCCATTTGTATAAACACAGTTGTACTACAAATACTATGGTTAAACTATGGTTAGTGTAGCAAAACCATGGTTAATTTGTGGTTACCATGGTTAAACTCAGGGGTGTCCAAACTTTTTTTTTTAAGGGGGCCAGATTTGACGATGTGGACACACCAGGGAGCCGGATGCTTCTCCCTATAATATATAATAGCAATATCACACGAGTAGACGTGAGATATGGCTGTATATCGGCATGGCTGTGATTCGGGCGTAGGTAATCACAGAGTGCCAATATACAGCCATGTCTCACGTCTACTCGTGTGATATTGCGTTTATACAACAGGTCGACGGCACGAGCGTGAAAATACATAAACAAAATAACAATGGAGTGTCTTTTAAATCCCTCTTTTGTGCATAACTACTTCCTTCCACCACGGATTCAAATCTAAAGTTGACAGTTTAACAGCTGAGCCCAAGCCTCCGCTACTAATTCCAAAACGTCACTTTAGAACTAGTAACAAAGGAACGTTGAGTTACAGAAATGAACTGACGGTGCGGAAGCTCATTCATGAGATTTGAATTCTCCGCTGTAAGGCGACCTCATGCATAATACAGCACAGTGATTGGATCATACGACTTCATTCTCATGAATACTGAGAAAAGCCTGGAAAACCGATGATGCAGACGTGCACTCTCCAGCCACGGCAGCCAATCACCACTCCAAATTAACGCATATACGTCACTTTTCTTGATGTTGGTTCAACTTTACTTTTTGAACCAGAAGAATGAAATTGCTCCAGAAAATGAAAATATAACCACTTTTGCTTTAATTATAGACATAATGAGTGCTGTTGTTGTTTTCACTGATGTGCAACCTGTTCATATATGTTAACATCTCAAAAAAATGTGTTTTAGGGTTTCAAGACACTTTAAATGCTTATTGTACTACTGTAGTAAAAGCAGTGCATTATGTATAGTAGAGTATTATGAGAGATAGATGGCGAGTGTGATTTTCTGCATCTGATACGGCATTCATTCTTCAGATCAATCTCATATTCACAATAAAATATTAGTTTGAATGTCCGATAGGCTCGTACTATCCTTTCATCTGTTAAGGGTGATTTCTGATAACAGCGCTGCTCGGTGAATTTGTTGGCTGCATACAAGCTTTTTGAAAGAAAAAAGAACTTTCTTGTTCAAAACTGTGCTTTAGTATTTTTCAGTTTAAAAGTCTTTACTGCTGACTCGTAAAACAGTCTCTTGTCACCATCTAATGGTGGAACAATGTAATTAAAATCACCATCACGAACACACACACACTTTCCTAATACTAAATACTACTATTTATTGAATAATAATATTTAATAAACAACAACAGCCATCATAAAAAATGCTAGACAATTCAGTCAAAAGTACAAAGGCATCGCTCAGATATACAGCATTGAAGTTACATAAACGGTGAGATTTTGTCAAAACTATTTGCTCTGGAACAAATAACAGATTAATGAGACCAAAGTCTTCCCATTAGATTTACCCAAAACGAAATATATCTCATGTTTATCCACTATAGAGATAGCAGAGCCAATGGTAAATTCCTGAAGTTCTGGCCGAGGTGAGGCGCTCTCTCTGTGGGTTTATGAGCGCTGAATGCCTGCTGATGTCCTGGAGCCCACGTCTCCGAAAACATCAAAGCAAATTTTTTGCTGTGAGAAATAAGGCAAGCGGAGTGACACAAAAGGTGAAGCTGTTGGAGAAGCTCTGTTATCACTCTAATATCGCACTCTTATCAGCCAATCAGATTCAAGGACCAGAAAGAACTGTTATGTATATATTATATATACAGTAGTCAACATTTGAAGTGGATCAAAAAAGTTAATCAAAGTTGTCCTAAGACAATAACTGGTATTGTTTTGGTTTTAGGGCAACTTTGATTAAAGGTTTTGATCCACTTCAAATGACGACTACTGTATATATGCATGTATGTATATGTATATATATATATATATATATATAGAGCATGAGAAATTAGGGTGATATGACGTGTTAAACATGTATGACATGTTTTAAACATTAAACATGATCAACTGGCTGAGATCAAGCTATGTTCATTTAAAAAATAAAAAATAAATCACTTCGGTGGTGATTGGAAGGTTACGACTGAGCGCTCAACACTTAAATATCATTAAATACATTAATGATATCTGCCTTTTTCTGTTCTGTTAACCCTAGGGGGGTTATTATTGCTGCTCTCCCTGCTCATTCATGACAGGCTGCATGGAT